AGGACGATATGTTAAGGTGAAGTTGAACCTGCTGAAAAACAACGCCCACCGGGCCTGTCTAGAATTAAGTCTCTTGGCTGTTTGAATGTATGACAGATTCTTATGGTCGGTCCAAACGATGAACGGTTGTTCAGCTCCCTCAAGCCAGTGCCTCCATTCCTCTAGTGCCAATTTGATGGCTAAAAGTTCATGATTTCCGACGTCGTAGTTTCTCTCTGCCTGAGATAGACGTCGAGAGAAGAAGGCACATGGATGCAGTTTCTGATCCGAGCTAGACCTTTGAGAGAGCACGGCTCCCACTCCAGAGTCCGAGGCGTCTACCTCAACAACAAACTGGCGAGTCGGATCTCCTTGCATCAACACAGGAGCAGTAGTGAAAAGTTCCTTTAATCTCCTGAAAGCTGACTCAGCTTCCTCTGTCCAGGAGAATGGAATAGAAGATGAGGTCAGCTTGCAGAGCGGCTGGGCAACAGAACTGAAATTGCGAATGAAGCGCCGGTAGAAATTTGCAAAGCCCAGGAACTGTTGGAGCTTTCGGCGGCTGGTTGGCTGTGGCCATTCTAAAACTGCCTTAATCTTTTGGGGATCGGGCCTCACTTGTCCTGCTTCAATTATAAACCCCAAAAAAGACACAGTGTCGCAATGAAACTCACACTTCTCTGCCTTAACATACAACTTATTCTCTAGGAGTCTCTGTAGCACCTGACGGACATGTTTAACATGTTCGGCTGGGGACTGGGAATAAATAAAAATGTCGTCCAGATAAACAAACACAAAACGACCCAAGAAGTCTCGGAGAACGTCATTAACAAAAGCCTGAAAAACTGCTGGGGCATTGGTAAGACCGAAGGGCATAACTTGGTATTCAAAGTGCCCAATAGGGGTCTTAAAAGCGGTCTTCCACTCGTCACCCTCTCTAATGCGAACTAGGTGGTAAGCATTACGCAGGTCTAGCTTAGAGAAAATGACTTCCCCTTGTAATGGGTCAAAAGCAGATGTGAGCAAAGGCAGAGGGTATTTGTTTTTAACAGTTATGTTGTTCAAACCACGATAGTCAATACAGGGTCGTAACGACTTGTCTTTCTTTTCAACAAAAAAAAAGCCAGCACCGACTCGGGACGAAGACTGACGAATTAAGCCCGCCGAAAGAGACTCTGTTATGTATTTTTCCATAGCTTCCCTCTCTGGGCGTGAAACATTGTAAAGACGACTGGAGGGAAGTATTGCCCCGGGTAGAAGCTCGATAGCGCAGTCATAGGGGCGGTGAGGAGGTAGGGACAGAGCCTTCTCTTTGCTAAACACCTCCACCAAATCATGATAGCATTTAGGGACATTAGACAGATCAGGGAATCTGGGAGTCTCAGAATGGCTATCGGGAATTGAGACTACAGCGGAGCGGGGGCAGTTAGTGTGACAACTGTTACTCCAACCCGTTATGCTACCCTGAGACCAGTCAATGGAAGGGTTGTGTAGACTCAACCAGGGATGCCCAAGCACAAGTGGTGTGTGAGGAGACGAAATAATCTTTAACTGAATCTCCTCACTGTGGTTTCCGGAGAGGCAAAGGGTAACCGGAACCGTAGTGTGTGTAATATTGGCCAAAAGTTGTCCACTTAATGAGCTAGCTTTAATGGGAGACTTAAGTGCTTGGGTTGGGATCTTAGATTGTTTTACCAGCTCTACATCGATGAAGTTGTCCTCAGCTCCAGAATCAGTTAACGCAGGTAAGGGACACGAAAAAAAAACAAGTCTAAGAGTTGCGGGCAGTAATAGTCTGGGACGGGTCTCTAATTCAGCATGACTCACCAATACTCCCAGAGCTATTGGTGAGTCTGGTCTTTTGGCTTTCTAGGACAAGTACCAATTAAGTGGCCCAATTCCCCACAATAGAAGCACTGACCTAACCTCAAGCGCTGCTGTCGTTCCATAGGAGATAGGTGTGCTCTACCCAGCTGCATGGGTTCATCTGTTTCAACTGGAGCAGTATGTGGAAAAGTCTCAGCAGCGGTTTGAAGAGTTGTAGGACGATGTACCATTGGAGAGGGTCTCGAACGTCCAGCCTTCTCACGGCGGCGCTCACGTAGGCGATTATCTAAACGAATCACCAAGGAAATGAGAGATTTGAAAGTGGTCTCTTCGTCTCTACAGGCTAACTCGTCCTTCAGCTGCTCATTTAGTCCTTTAATAAAAATTTCCATTAGCGCTTTGTCATTCCATCCTGAATCGGCTGCCATGGTTTGGAACTCGACAGAATAATCTGCTGCACTGAGACTTCCTTGCTGTATTGTAATAAGACGCTTTGAAGCACTGCCAGCGTAATCAGGGTGGTCAAAAACTTGACGAAAACGCTCAATAAAAAAGTTGAACCCCATAGAGGCCAAGGGGCTATCAGAATCTTCTGCTTCTGCCCATGTTAATGCCCTGTCACGCAATAGTCCCACCATGAACAGAATTTTAGACTTATCTGTTGAAAAGGTGGCAGGCCGGAGTTGAAAGTCGAACACTGTAGTAAAAATCCTCTACAGCTTCCCAGGTCCCCATGAAAAGGCTCGGGATGTGGAACAGGCACTTCAGGCTTGGCAATATAGTCCTGAGGAGTGGCAGGGGGAGAGGGCGGCTGGGCAGAGGCTGTGGATGAAAGATGGCTGGTGAGTACAGACATTTGATGCATTAACTGAGTCATATGTGCAACCAGTTCCTGATTTCCTTGGACAAGATGAGCGTTTCTTCATGCTGGCCTAGCAGGATTCCTTGATGAGAGACAGCCTCTCTAATTGATGCAGGTGTGTCACCATGAGGAGGATCCGCTGGATTCATCTTGGCCAGTTCGTTCTGTTGTGGTTTGACAAAATAGACTCCAAACGCGGATCCAAGGAGTAACAAGTAAATTTAATAAAACAAAAATCACTGGAGAACAAAAATAAAGTCCAAAACAAGCTCCAGGAATGTACTGGGAAAGCAGGTCCTCCACCTGAGGAAAATACAAAAACCACGTTAAACAAGTCCAAAAACAGTCTCTCAGAAGTCTCACAAAATGCGTTGATTCACCGCAGTCAAGGGACGAACTGGCGCTGGCTGAGTGGATTTCCAGCAAACAAATATACTTTCCCCGATTGGCCTGATGAGACACAGGTGGGCCCTCGCAGCAGGCACCTGCAATGGGGGAGGAGACTCACAGACACACAAGGGGAGGGGGAGTGAGAGACAGGAGGAGCACCAAAAACTGCCCTCATGACTCTTCTCTGGTCCCGTCGCTCTCTGCTCTCTCTCTGCTCTCTCTGCTCTCTCTCTCTCTGCTCTCTCTCTCTCTACTCTCTCTCTCCCTGGTCTCTCTCCCACTATAGTCCTTATCTTTCTGGTTTGCTCACAGTCTGTGCATCAGTGTTTAAAGCACAGCCGTGACAACAATGACCCCCACAAAGAGGTCTCTCTCGTTGTTCCTCCGTGAGAGAGACTCCTTTATAGCTTCTGTGGGTTATTGTATACTTTCAGCAGTTCTTCTGTGAAAGTCGCTCCACAAACAAACCTTATCTTTCTCTTTGTGTCTTATCACATCCTCCTTATCTACAGTCTGTGCACTCTACACACAGGAAGTCAGGCTGTGGCCCCGCCCCCTCAGACACCAGGGGAGATAGACCAGAGGGGAGAAACCAGGGGAGAGAGACCAGAGAGAGAGAGACCAGGGGGGGAGACCAGAGGAGAGAGACCAGAGGAGAGAGACCAGAGGAGAGAGATGAGAGAGACCAGAGGAGAGAGACCAGGGGGGAGACCAGAGGAGAGAGATCAGAGGAGAGAGACCAGAGGGGGAGAGACCAGAGGAGAGAGACCAGAGGGGAGAGACCAGAGGAGAGAGACCAGAGAGAGAGACCAGAGAGAGAGACCAGAGAGAGCGACCAGGGGAGACAGACCAGAGAGAGAGAGAGACCAGGGGGGGGAGACCAGAGGAGAGAGACCAGAGGAGAGAGACCAGGGGAGAGAGACCAGAGGAGAGAGACCAGAGGAGAGAGACCAGAGGGGAGAGAGACCAGAGGAGAGAGACCAGGGGAGAGAGACCAGAGAGAGAGAGACCGGGGGGGGGGGGAGACCAGAGGAGAGAGACCAGAGGAGAGAGACCAGGGAGAGAGACCAGAGAGAGAGAGACCAGAGGAGAGAGACCAGAGGAGAGAGACTAGAGGGGAGAGAGACCAGAGGAGAGAGACCAGAGGGGAGAGACCAGAGGAGAGAGATGAGAGAGACCAGAGGAGAGAGACCAGGGGGGAGACCAGAGGAGAGAGATCAGAAGAGAGAGACCAGAGGGGAGAGACCAGAGGAGAGCGATGAGAGAGACCAGAGGAGAGAGACCAGGGGGGAGACCAGAGGAGAGAGGCCAGAGGAGAGAGACCAGAGAAGAGAAACCAGAGAGAGAGACCAGGGGGAGAGAGACCAGAGAGAGAGAGACCAGAGGAGAGAGACCAGAGGAGAGAGACCAGAGGAGAGAGACCAGAGGGGAGAGACCAGAGGAGAGAGATGAGAGAGACCAGAGGGAGAGAGACCAGAGGAGAGAGACCAGAGAGAGAGACCAGGGGAGAGAGACCAGAGGAGAGAGACCAGTAAAGGGATACCAGAGGAAAAAGACCAGAGAAGAGAAACCAGAGAAGAGAGACCAGAGGGGAGAGACCAGAGGAGAGAGACCACAGGAAGAGTCCAGAGGGGAGAGGCCAGAGGAGAGACTAGAGGAGAGAGAGACCAGGGGGGGAGACCAGAGGAGAGACCAGAGGAGAGAGACCAGGGGAGAGAGACCAGAGGAGAGAGACCATAGGAGAGAGACCAGAGGAGAGAGATGAGAGAGACCAGAGGAGAGACACCAGAAGAGAGACCAGAGGGGAGAGACCAGAGAAGACGCGGCAGCACTTCAGTGAACGATACCAGCGATTGTGCTATACCAGCAAAGCAGTATCTCAAATATAGCTAGCCCTGAGGTTTGGTAACGGCCCAGATTGTCCTAGTTTGTCCCAGATTGAATGCTGGTGCTGCTGCAGGAAAGGTCAGTGTGTCCAGCTGCCTCCAGAGATTGAAAGTTTCTCTTTCTTTTGTTTTTAAGAGAGAGAGAAAAGAGAGTCGCTGCTGTTGACACTTGTCATTTCTGTAGAAAAGAGCATTTGTACAACACAGGTCATACATAAGACAACTCTTTAGTCCAGTTAAGGAGAGAGAGACCAGAGAGAGAGACTAGAGAGAGACTAGAGCGAGACCAGAGAGAGAGACCAGAGAGAGAAACCAGAGAGAGACCAGAGAGAGACCAGAGAGAGAGAGACCAGAGAGAGCGACCAGAGAGAGACCAGAGAGAGACCAGAGAGAGAAAGCAGAGAAAGAGAGCCGGGAGAGCGCTCTCTGCTCTCTTTCTCTTCAATCCCTCTCTGGTCTCTCTCTGGTCTCTCTCTGGTCTCTCTCTGGTCTCTCCCTCTGGTCTCTCTCTGGTCTCTCTCTGGTCTCTCTCTCTGGTCTCTCTCTGGTCTCTCTCTCTGGTCTCTCTCTGGTCTCTCTCTGGTATTGCCCTCTCTTTGGTTTCTCTGCCCTCTCCTTGGTCTCTATTTGGTCTCTCTGCTCTCTCTGCTCTCTCTTTGCCCTCTCTCTGGTCTCTCTGCTCTCTCCCTGCTCTTTCTCTGCACTCTCTCTGCTCTCTCTCTGCTCTCTCTTTGCCCTCTCTCTGGTCTCTCTGCTCTCTCCCTGCTCTTTCTCTGCACTCTCTCTGCTCTCTCTCTGCTCTCTCTCTGCTCTCTCGCTCACCTGGTTCTCCTCTGGTGTGTTGCAGGTGGAGTGGCTGAAGAACGAGGAGGTGATAGATCCGGCCGACGACAGAAACTTCTACATCACCATCGACCACAACCTGATCATCAAACAGGCGCGGCTCTCGGACACCGCCAACTACACCTGCGTCGCCAAGAACATCGTGGCCAAGCGCCGCAGCACCACGGCAACCGTCATTGTCTACGGTAACCACGGCGTTCGCAGGGTTCAGGAGGAAAACCAGAGAGAGAGACCAGAGAGAAACCAGAGAGAGAGAGGAATAGAGAGACCAGAGAAAAAACAGAGATCAAAGAGAAACCAGAGAGAAACCAGGGAGAGATCAGAGACCAGAGAAAGACCAAGGACAGAGCAGAGAAGGTTTCAGGAGGTCCTCAGGGTTCAGGAGAGAAACCAGAGAGAGAGAGAAAGAGAGAGACCAGAGAGAAACCAGAGATCAGGAAGACCAGAGGGAGACCAAGGAGAGAGCAGAGGGATCAGAAAGAGACAGAGCAGAGAAGGGCTTGGTCTCCCAGATGGTTATAGCCCTACTCCCTGGTGTTCCTCTCTCTGGTCTCTTTCTGTTCTCTGGTCTTTCTGGTCTCTTGTCTCTCTCTATTCTTTGTGATCTCTGATCTCCCATTGGTCTCTCTCTCTCTGCTCCCTTTCTCTCTTTCAGGCTGTATATATCTGCGTCTCTCTCTCTCTCTCTCTCTCACCGTCTCTCTCTCTGCTCTCACTCTGCTCTCACTCTGCTCTGTCTCTCTCTCTTTCAGGCTGTATGTTTCGGCGTCTCTCTGCTCTCTCTCTCTCTCTCTCTCTCTGCTCTCTCTGTTTGGTCTCTCTCTCTCTCCCTCTCAGCGTCTCTCACTCTGGTCTCTCTCTCTCTGGTCTCTCTCTCTTTCAGGCTGTATGTCTCGGCATCTCTCTCTCTCTCTCTCTCTCTCTCTCTCTCTCTCTCTCTCTCTCTGGTCCTTAAATCCTGAACTTGTACCATCCTCACCCGTCGTCTCCGGAGCCTTCTGAGTTGATGCTAGATTTGGAATCAAAGCGTTTTCAAAGCCGTGTCCTCAGATCCTCAATCCCCTGCTCCTGGGGGGATCTCTCTCACAGTTTGTTGTGCGAGGACCCGCAGATTAGTGCTTGGCTTTGAAAGTTGCTAATGTGGCGAGGACGTACTTAGAGAATCACCTGCTGAGCCTTCACACTGTGTCTGTAACTTCAGCTCAAACAACAGGACAACGAGAGAACACTGTTCTCTCTCTGGTCTCTCTCTGTTCTCTCTCTGGTCTCTCTCTGGTCTCTCTCTGGTCTCTCTCTGGTCTCTCTCTTGTCTCTCTCTGGTCTCTCTCTGGTCTCCAGCTCCACTCTCCGCCTCTGACCCCGGACTCTCTCACGTTCAGCCACGCAGTAAATTCGGCTCAGATTGCTGCCTTCTCCAGCGGCTGATTCCTCCTAATGCCTCCCTTCCCGCTCTCATCCGTCTCTGTCCGTGGCTCAGACCCAGAGCGGAGTGACACCCAGGGCTGGTGGCTCAGAACCAGGCCGTGGCATTTAAGATGGTGGATCTAGGCCACTCCTCGGAGCCTCCCTCGCAAATGTGACGCGATTAGGAGCCAGGCCCAGAAAGCTGGACACTGCAGGCTTTTCTCTCTCTGTGGATGGACTCGCTCTCTCTCACTCTCTGCTTCTTGTAGATGTGCCAAGAGTTAGAGAAATTAGATTCTAATTTGAGCAAGTAGAGATAGTTTTGTGGCCTACATCACAGGTGTGGGCGGGGCTTAGCTTGAGGGCTAAAACTAGGACCAATCATTTGTGATTATAGACTTTAGAAAATGAGATACACTGCAAAAAATGAAAATTAGGTGGTAAAGGCTAACAGCAAGTGTTTAACGTGACTGTTAAAACAAGATTTGCCAATGGGACAAGAGAGACCAGAGAAGGACCAGAAAGAGTCCAGAGGAGGACCGGAGAGGGACACAGAGAGGCCAGAGAAGGACACAGAGAGAGACCAGAGAGAGACTAGAGAGAGAGACTAGAGAGAGAGACCAGAGAGAGAGACCAGAGAGAGAGACCAGAGAGAGACCAAAGAGAGACCAGTGAGAGACCAGAGAGAGACCAGAGAGAGATCAGAGAGAGAGACCAGAAAGAGACCAGAAAGAGACCAGAGAGAGACCAGAGAGTGGCCAGAGAGAGACCAGAGAGAGACAAGAGAGAGGCCAGAGAGAGTCCAGAAAGAGACCAGAGCGGGTCCAGAGACAGTCCAGAGAGAGTCCAGAGAGAGTCCAGAGAGAGACCAGAGAGAGACATTGCCATGGAAACACAGTTTATTCAATCTGGTGAATCATTGATATGCTTCATAAACGTCACTCTGTAGAGTCCAACCATAACTTAATCCTGGCGCCTGAGACCTGGTTTTGCTTCTGCAGTGAACGGCGGCTGGTCCACGTGGACGGAGTGGACCGTGTGCAACAGTAAGTGCGGCCGCGGGTACCAGAAACGGACCAGGAGCTGCACCAACCCCGCCCCACTGAACGGGGGCGCCATCTGCGACGGACAGGGCATTCAGAAGCTGGCCTGCAACCCCATGTGTCCAGGTGAGAGACCAGAGACCAGGTGAGAGACCAGGTGTCCATGTGTTCAGGTGAGAGACCAGAGACCAGGTGAGAGACCAAGTGTCCATGTGTCCAGGTGAAAGGGTTAGGGTTAGAGTTAGGGAGAAGAAAAAGAGACCAGAGACAACCGAGAAATACAGAACCAAAGAGACTAGGTGTCCAGGTGAGAGACCAGAGACCAGGTGTCCAGGTGAGAGACCAGTGTCCAGGTGTCCAGGTGAGAGACCAGAGTCCAGGTGAGAGACCAGAGACCAGGTGTCCAGGTGAGAGACCAGTGTCCAGGTGTTCAGGTGAGAGACCAGTGTCCAGGTGTCCAGGTGAGAGACCAGTGTCCAGGTGTCCAGGTGAGAGACCAGAGTCCAGGTGAGAGACCAGAGACCAGGTGTTCAGGTGAGAGACCAGTGTCCAGGTGTCCAGGTGAGAGACCAGTGTCCAGGTGTTCAGGTGAGAGACCAGTGTCCAGGTGTTCAGGTGAGAGACCAGAGACCAGGTGTCCAGGTGAGAGACCAGTGTCCAGGTGTTCAGGTGAGAGACCAGAGTCCAGGTGAGAGACCAGAGACCAGGTGTTCAGGTGAGAGACCAGTGTCCAGGTGTCCAGGTGAGAGACCAGTGTCCAGGTGTTCAGGTGAGAGACCAGTGTCCAGGTGTTCAGGTGAGAGACCAGAGACCAGGTGTCCAGGTGAGAGACCAGTGTCCAGGTGTCCAGGTGAGAGACCAGAGTCCAGGTGAGAGACCAGAGACCAGGTGTCCAGGTGAGAGACCAGTGTCCAGGTGTTCAGGTGAGAGACCAGTGTCCAGGTGTCCAGGTGAGAGACCAGTGTCCAGGTGTCCAGGTGAGAGACCAGAGTCCAGGTGAGAGACCAGAGACCAGGTGTTCAGGTGAGAGACCAGTGTCCAGGTGTCCAGGTGAGAGACCAGTGTCCAGGTGTTCAGGTGAGAGACCAGTGTCCAGGTGTTCAGGTGAGAGACCAGAGACCAGGTGTCCAGGTGAGAGACCAGTGTCCAGGTGTTCAGGTGAGAGACCAGAGACCAGGTGTCCAGGTGAGAGACCAGAGACCAGGTGTCCAGGTGAGAGACCAGTCCCCAGGTGTCCAGGTGAGAGACCAGAGACCAGGTGTCCAGGTGAGAGACCAGTGTCCAGGTGGGAGACCAGAGACCAGGTGTCCAGGTGAAAGACTAGAGACCAGGTGAGAGACCAGTCCCCAGGTGTCCAGGTGAGAGACCAGAGTCCAGTTGAGAGACCAGAGACCAGGTGTCCAGGTGAGAGACCAGAGACCAGGTGAGAGACCAGTGTCCCGGTGAGACAGGTGAGAGACTAGAGACCAGGTGAGAGACCAGAGACCAGGTGTCCAGATGAGAGACTAGAGACCAGAGACCAGGTGTGCAGGTGAGAGACCAGTCCCAATGTGTCCCCCAAGTTTTAGATTCACCAACAACAGATCAGAGAATCTAAAAGTTCTAAAACAAAGAATGCAATAATAATAGAAACTCAGAAGACATCCAGGACTGAGGCTATAGATCCAGGACTGAGGCTGTAGATCCAGGACTGAGGCTGTAGACCCAGGACTGAGGCTGTAACCCAGGACTGAGGCTGTAGACCAGGACTGAGGCTGTAGACCCAGGACTGAGGCTGTAGACCCAGGACTGAGGCTGTAGACCCAGGACTGAGGCTGTAGACCCAGGACTGAGGCTGTAGATCCAGGACTGAGGCTGTAGACCCAGGACTGAGGCTGTAGACCCAGGACTGAGGCTGTAGATCCAGGACTGAGGCTGTAGACCCAGAACTGAGGCTGTAGACCCAGGACTGAGGCTGTAGACCCAGGACTGAGGCTGTAGACCCAGGACTGAGGCTGTAGACCCAGGACCTCCCCCACACTTCACCCTCCCCCTGCGTCTCTCTCTCTATCTTTCTCACCCGTTCTCTCTCTCACTATACCTCTCTCCGCCCCTCTCTTCCCTCTCTCCCTCTCTCCCTCCCTCCCCCCACGCCTCACCCGTGCTCACGTCTCCCCCTCCTCTCGTTGTGTGGTAGTGGATGGCCTGTGGACTGAGTGGAGTAAGTGGTCGACCTGTGGGACGGAGTGCACCCACTGGAGACGGAGGGAGTGCAACGCCCCAGCGCCCAAAAACGGGGGCAAGGACTGTGAGGGCCTGGTGCTCCAGTCCAAGAACTGCACCGATGGGCTGTGTATGCAGAGTGAGTACTGTCTCCCCCACTCTCCCCCGTATGCTGAGTGAGTACTGCCTCCCCCACTCTCCCCCGTATGCTGAGTGAGTACTGCCTCCCCCACTCTCCCCCTCTCTCCCCCTCTCTCCCCCTCTCTCCCCCCTCTCTCCCCTTCATCAACACATGCACAATCTCATTCACTTTTGTTTCTGCGTGGAGAGAGAGAGACCAGAGAGAGACCAGAGAGAGACCAGAGAGAGACCAGAGAGAGACCAGAGAGAGACCAGAGAGAGACTAGAGAGAGAGACAAGAGAGAGACGAGACAGAGAGACAAGAGACCGACCAGAGAGAGAACAGAGAGAACAGAGAGAGAGACAAGAGAAAGACAAGAGAAAGACAAGAGAGAGACCAGAGAGAGACCAGAGAGAGACAAACAGTGAGAGACCAGAGAGATAGAGACCAGAAAGAGACCAGAGATGGCTGTGTATGCAGAGTGAGAACCTCCCACTCTCAGATTTCTGACTCTGTGCAGACAGAATATAACACTGGACTTGGAGAAGGAAATCAACTCATTAGAGCACAGGAGGAAAACCTAACACTGACCTAATCTCCAAATAGACTGAGAGAGAAAGACCAGAGCGAGAGAGAGAGAGAGACCAGAGAGAGACCAGAGAGAGACCAGAGAGAGATTAGAGCAGAGGTAGAGCAGAGAGAGCTCCATATAACATACATAATCGTCATGGAAACAGTTTCAGATGAATTGGATAAATAACAGCGACATGTTTTACAAGTGTCAGACTGAACATTATTTTGGGAAAAGTCACGACCTCAGAGATCAGGATGAGCTCCTCACCGCTGGGAACACATCTGTCCAGCTTCTTTTTAAAACTTCATTCTTTAGTAAAATCAGTTTAGTGTAAGTTTTTATTCATAACATTTAGATGTTTTTCTCTATTAGTAGTTTATTTCTATCTTTGTGTTTAAAAACGACTGTGGTCCAGAAACGGAGGAATCAGATCGTGTCCCATTCACTGTCACGCCCTGTCTGTGTTCCACTCCCACTTCATAAACTCACAGACCCCAGCTTTAACACAGCCTCAGGTTTATATACACTGGAGAGACGACTCTTTCTTCTGCTTTATCCATTGCCGGGTCACAGGGGCAGCATTGTGTAGTACGGCTTTACAGAGGGACTACGTGGTCTTTGAGGTTTGGGGATTGAACCCAGGACGTTCTTGCGTTGAAGCACAAGCAAAAACCACTCTGCTACTGTGCCAGAGAAAGGGCAGATATCTTGAAGAGACCAGAGGCAGACATCTTGGAGAGACCAGAGGCAGATATCTTGGAGAGACCAGAGGCAGATATCTTGGAGAGACCAGGGGCAGACATCTTGGAGAGACCAGAGGCAGACATCTTGGAGAGACCAGAGGCAGACATCTTGGAGAGACCAGAGGCAGACATCTTGGAGAGACCAGAGGCAGACTCAGGCCCAGACATCTTGGAGAGACCAGAGGCAAACATCTTGGAGAGACCAGAGGCAGACTCAGGCCCAGACATCTTGGAGAGACCAGAGGCAGACATCTTGGAGAGACCAGAGGCAGACTCAGGCCCAGACATCTTGGAGAGACCAGAGGCAGACATCTTGGAGAGACCAGAGGCAGACTCAGGCCCAGACATCTTGGAGAGACCAGAGGCAGACATCTTGGAGAGACCAGAGGCAGACTCAGGCCCAGACATCTTGGAGAGACCAGAGGCAGACATCTTGGAGAGACCAGAGGCAGACTCAGGCCCAGACATCTTGGAGAGACCAGAGGCAGACTCAGGCTCAGACATCTTGGAAACCCAGGGCTTGAAGTAGACCTCCTTAGTATCTTGTCTTAATAACATAGAAACGTATGGAGCTAAGGCCTTTTCCCAATACCCCAGCATGCATCAGTGCCATGTGCACACACACATGCACAGAGATATGTAGAGCTCTTATTAGACATATATTTAGTGTCTTTGGAGCTCTGTTCCAACAGAGACCTTTTCCAAATATGTCAAACAACAGCAGGAAGGATGAGTGTGTTTCGAGCTGCCTCCTTTATTAAATGCGTCGCCTGCTTAATGCGGTTGGAGGTGTCAGCGCCGTGTTCCCAGAAGAGGCGGATAATTCGCTGCAGATGGTGATAGTGACACTAATCATATAAAAGAGGAAGAATTTATTACAGCTGGTCCAAACACTGAGATACCGAGTGTTGGCTGTGGATGTGATAGACAAGAGAGTGAAGTTCTGGCTTTTTTAATTTCTTTACACTAAAGTATAAGAGACCAAAGAAAGGGACCAGAAAGAGACCAGAGGGAGAGACCAGAGAGAGGCCAGAGGGAGAGACCAGAGAGAGGCCAGAGGGAGAGACCAGAGAGAGGCCAGAGAGAGAACAGAGAGAGAGACCAGAGAGAGACCTGAGAGACCAAAGAGAGGGACCAGAGAGGGACCAGAAAGAGACCAGAGAGAGACCAGAGAGAGGCCAGAGAGAGAGACCAGAGAGAGACCAGAGAGAGACCAGAGAGAGACCAGAGAGGGACCAGAGAGAGACCAGAAAGAGAGACCAGAGAGAGAGACTTGAGAGAGAGACCAGAGAGAGACCATAGAGAGACCAGAGAGAGACCAGAGAGGGACCAGAGAGAGACCAGAAAGAGAGACCAGAGAGAGAGACTTGAGAGAGAGACCAGAGAGAGACCATAGAGAGACCAGAGGAGAGAAAACTTACGCAGACACAGAGAGAACATGCAAACTCCACTCAGATAGGCACTGTTTCGACTGGGGATATTATGTTATCTACCTTACTACCCACCTTTCTATCTAACTACCTGCTCAGAGATTACAGATGTTAAATTGCATCTGCATTTCTGGATTTGGGCTAAACTGTTCCTGTGATAATAAAAGTAGTTGAAGCTAAACTAGCGCGTTAGCATCGTCCATCTCTACATATACACACAGGCTATGGCTTATTTCTTAACATCACTCAGAGAATAATGAGAGGGACCTGTGATGGAACCAAGTATTGATTCTCTGGTGTGGGTGGAGGCTAAGAGGGTGAAGCCACTTAATGTCAACGCTAATGACCATTTCCACTCCCGTTTAGAGCGCGGCTTCGCTAACGCCGAGCCGTGAGCGATCTGAACTCACCTTGGACTCTGTGAGAACCGCGGCCGCAGCTCCTTGATCCTATTTCCACTTGTTTAAAACGTATTTGAATCGCTGGGATCCATCTGTGGAGGAAGCTGAGACGGCAACAGAACTGGCAATATCGGTGTCTGTTGTGGAGGAAAAACACCGGAGGAATCACATTTGTAACTTGTATCTCCCATTTAGCCGCTCTCAGAATGTGGCTCTAATGAAGTTAGGCGTCTGCAGATTGCATTGAAGAGGCTGCACTTTTGTCCGATGGAAGTTTCTCGGTCTCGTTCTGTTTGGATCAGACTTTGTGGGTTTGTTTTTCTCGGTGTTGTTCTGATCCCGACCTTTTGACTCCGGGATCCGCTCCGATGGTCCAACCAGGGCAAAGGCTTTCATGGAGGAAGAGAGAAACCGGTCTCACTCTCTGGTCTCTCTCTCTCTGGTCTCTCTTTCTGGTCTCTTTCTCTGGTCTCTATCTAGTCTCACTCTCTGGTCTCTTTCTCTCTCTGGTCTCACTCTCTGGTCTCTCTCTCTGGTCTGTCTCCCTGGTCCCTCTCTCTGGTCTCTCTCTCTAGTCTCTCTTTCTGGTCTCTCTCTCTGGTCTCTCTTTCTGGTCTCTTTCTCTGGTCTCTATCTAGTCTCACTCTCTGGTCTCTTTGTGGGTTTGTTTTTCTCGGTGTTGTTCTGATCCCGACCCTTTGACTCCGGGATCCGCTCCGATGGTCCAACCAGGGCAAAGGCTTTCATGGAGGAAGAGAGAAACCGGTCTCACTCTCTGGTCTCTCTCTCTCTGGTCTCTCTTTCTGGTCTCTTTCTCTGGTCTCTATCTAGTCTCACTCTCTGGTCTCTTTCTCTCTCTGGTCTCACTCCCTGGTCTCTCTCTCTGTTCTCTCTCTCTGGTCTCTCTCTGGTCTCTCTCTCTAGTCTCTCTTTCTGGTCTCTCTCTCTGGTCTCTCTTTCTGGTCTCTTTCTCTGGTCTCTATCTAGTCTCACTCTCTGGTCTCTTTCTCTCTCTGGTCTCACTCTCTGGTCTCTCTCTCTGGTCTGTCTCCCTGGTCCCTCTCTCTGGTCTCTCTCTGGTCTCTCTCTCTGTTCTCTCTCTCTGGTCTCTCTCTGGTCTCTCTCTCTAGTCTCTCTTTCTGGTCTCTCTCTCTGGTCTCTCTCTCTTGTATCTCCCATTTAGCCGCTCTCAGAATGTGGCTCTAATGAAGTTAGGCGTCTGCAGATTGCATTGAAGAGGCTGCACTTTTGTCCGATGGAAGTTTCTCGGTCTCGTTCTGTTTGGATCAAACTCTGTGGGTTTGTTTTTCTCTGTGTTGTTCTGATCCTTTGCCCCGACATGGCCTCCGCTTTGACTCATCGATCTGTGGACCGGGTGGGATCCGCTCCGATGGTCCAACCAGGGCAAAGGCTTTCATGGTGGAAGAGAGAAACCGGTCTCACTCTCTGGTCTTTCTCTCTCTAGTCTCTCTCTCTGGTCTCTGGTCTCACTCTCTGGTCTCACTCTCTGGTCTCTTTCTGTTCTCTCTCTCTCTGGTATTTCTCTCTGGTCTCTCTCTCTCTGGTCTCTCTCTCTGGTCTCTCTCTCTGGTCTCTCTCTCTGGTCTCTCTCTGGTCTCTCTCTCTGGTCTCTCTCTCTGGTCTCACTCTCTGGTCTCTTTCTGTTCTCTCTCTCTCTGGTCTTTCTCTCTGATCTTTCTCTCTGGTCTCTCTCTGGTCTCTCTCTCTGGTCTCTCTCTCTCTGGTCTCTCTCTCTGGTCTCTCTCTGGTCTCTGGTGTCTCTCTCTGGTCTCACTCTTTGATCTCTGGTCTCTCTCTGTTCTCTCTCTCTCTGGTCTCTCTCTCTGGTCTCACTCTCTGGTCTCACTCT